CTTTATTTTTTCATCTGCATTTCTGCTTCATTGTAATATTGTCTTACTTTCACAAACTGAGGTGTTATGTTCATTTCTTTTTATTACACTTTGGTGCATTAAACTTGAAATTGATAAACAGTGTATTGTTTCCCCTGGAATAATCACTTTGCACCCGTCACAATGGTGTATTTGTTTTTATTTATCTTATGCAATGATTTTAACAGTAACTGTCAATTAAAAACCTTAAACCTGCCTGCAGAGACATATAGGTATTACATGATGAATATATTGCTTCCAAACTCCAGTAAAGATTAACATATTAAAGCAATTACATTTAAATATCTGTAGGAAGTGTTACAGTTTGATTAGGTGCTCCTTTTTTAGGAACTGACCAATGCATTGGACTAGTTTATCTTCCATGATTTAGATGTAATGACATATTTTAAACAGAGTGATATAGGATGCTTTTCTTGCGTATCATGACCATTCTTAAAAAAAAAATTGCACATTTTCATTACTTATGAGTGAATCCCAAACAATATATAAGATAACTTTCCCCTAGGTATTTTTTCTTTATTGGAGGCAATGTGTTTAAGTGTGCGTGACTAAATGAAGACAATTTTGAGATCCAGCAAAGTGCATCTCTGTCTGTATCCATCCCTCACTCTCTCTCTCTCTATTGCCTGGAAACCATCCAGTGGTTTGGGTTCCCAGAAGGATGTTAAAGGCTATTTATGTCATGCTTTGTGTGTCTGACACTGTGCCTTCATCCGTGTGTTTGTTACAGGAGAAGACAGATAGATTAGCTCCTGGAAATACAGATTGTTTTGTTTGTGGTCGCACCTCCTGAGCCGATTCCTCTGTGTACTGTGGCATGCATGAGTTTAAAGGTGTTGTCTTACATATTTTGAGGGGTTTTTGTTTGTGTGTGTGTTTGCAGTCAGCATGAGGAGAAGGAGAAAGCATTAAAGGAGCAACTGTCTCATCTTACTGCTTTGCTTCCAACACTTCAGGTGAAGGGAAGATCAAAATGCGAATGATGATGAAATACCGTACTAAAGGTCAAAAACTTCACAACCGTAGGAAGAGGGGCATATTTTATTTAGGTTCAAGCACCAGTGTAGAAATATAACACAATTTTGTAAAAGTATAGATAGATAGATAGATAGATAGATAGATAGATAGATAGATAGATAGATAGATAGATAGATAGATAGATAGATAGATAGATAGATAGATGTTAGGCTTACTTTTCCAGCTGGTTCTTTAAATTTTGCAGGTCTTAATACATTGAAGTATTCAATTTTTAACTCTGGTGTTTTTTTAGGTTCACCTGGTCACCTGCTCGGCTTTTCTTAGTTCAGCCAACAAGTTTGAATTTCTGGATATGGGCTATGTAAGTACACTAAATACAGTCTTGATTGGTTATAATTGCATTTTAATCTATTTTAAATTCTCTCCAAAATTGCAGTCATAAAAGATGCAATAAGTTACATATGATGAATTTGATGGAACACAGAAAAGTCCAAATAAGATGTTATAATTAAAGCATATTGGTTTTTGAGCTAGCAAGCCTGAAAGCAGAGAGACTTAGACGTTTTTTGACGAAGTGCTGTCTGCAATCGAAAGGTTACTTTATTTTTTGGCATTGAATCCATTCTTAAATTAAGGTTATCCATAATGCCTCAGTGGGGTGAAATAGGTCACTGAATCAAACCTGATGTTCTTGCTTGCACAGCAACTCATGGAAAGACTGAAGAGGATTGCAAAGCTCCCTCATCGCCTGCGGCCAGTGCAGAGCAGCAAAGTGAGTATCCTGCATAGCACTCATAAGGAGCTAAAAGGCATTGACAATGCTGGCACACTGAGTATTACAGAAAATAAGCGCCCTAAAAAAAAGAGGCTTTGTTTTCCTTGGCTAAGTTTTGAAATTTCTGCAGTTTATGATGATATAAAACCTTTCCTGCTGCCAACATTGTTATATTCAGAGTCAAAATGAAAGACAAAGTGCTTCAAAGAAAAGACTGCAATTCTTTGTTGTTGTGCATCATCTTTTATAATTTCTCTGTACTTTTGGAACTTTGTTGCTGGTTACTTATTTGGCTCTGCACTCCATCAGATCAACACTGAGTACAGGAGTGAGTTTGCTCGTTGTCTGGAGCCTCTTCTTCAGATAGGATCACGCCGCCCTCCTTCTGTTGCTGGTTCCACTAGTATGGTAACAAGGTAATAACTTTTCATTTCAATCTCTTTTCCTTTAAAGAAATGTTTTATTTCATAAACTTTCTTCTTTTCAGTTTGGGTCATTTGCACCTTTTGCATTCTTTGAAGAAAGACAAAAGCCTAGGCAGAAAATTTCGCACATGTAAAGCTTCCAAGTTTAAAATCCCCAAATGGTTTGCAAGTGCAGATGCAGCGGAAAGGAGGCGCCGGGCTGAATCCCACTATGCCAGTTATTTTGTCTGCCTCTCTGTAAGCTTTGTACTCTGATATGTTTACGTAATTCACCTTGTTAAATGGGGGCCTGGATTGGGGGGGGTGGCATTCCCAAATTAGAAAGTTCTGGACCTGTTGTGTCCAGATAACGTTCAGGTGATGGATGGATAAATAGTCACATCTACAGGTCATTGATGGAGATAAAAAGAAAAACAAAAAACATGCTGAGTTTGTTGTGCTGGAAACTTGAACTCTAAAGTAGTTGGGAACTATTCTCTAGGAGGAATTTGTTTTTGTGCCTGCTGTAGACAAACTCCCTTCACCGCCACTTTTTCCACATCACTGTCTCTCAACTATTCACAGGTCCTTAAGCTCACTCTCTAATGCCAGCATACTGACAACGTTTCTTTCCAACATGTTTAATGCCCCGCCAGCACAAGACGCAAAACCTGACAGGGATTGGTGTCCGGCCGCCTGAGACTATTTTTATCATAATTTCAAAGAACCGTCTAGGAATCAGCTGTAGGTTGGCACTCAGGAGCAGTTGGAGCGTTGATGTCACGGCTTTAGCACAGGATAGGTTTTAAATTGGCGTCAGCATTGTGAGGATGAAGTCTGGGTGTGTGAGGATGACTTGTATGACAGTGAGAGAAGGATATATGTTTTAAACAGGTCTGGTGTCACATTATTTCTGCACAGGGAAACCAGAGGAATAGGAACTTAATGGATTGGAGGTAAAGTTTTTTATTATGTTTTTTTTACTTTTAAAAAATTTGAAATCCAAATGTGGATGACAGGTGCATTTGCTTCAAACATTATCTCACTATGCATTTTCCTTATATATGCTGTAAATTAACATCTGGTAGGATGAAAGTTAAATAATGGGGCAGATTTAGTTGGTTTTGTTTTAGGAATGTGCTCTGATCCTAGAGACCTTTTTTTTAATTGTCATTCCCTTCTTATCTGATCATTTTCTCTAGATCCAATGAATCTGTGATGCAATGGCTTTTTCTCAGTGTGTGGCAATTNAAGTTAAATAATGGGGCAGATTTAGTTGGTTTTGTTTTAGGAATGTGCTCTGATCCTAGAGACCTTTTTTTTAATTGTCATTCCCTTCTTATCTGATCATTTTCTCTAGATCCAATGAATCTGTGACGCAATGGCTTTTTCTCAGTGTGTGGCAATTATAACTATATTAAAATCTACTTAAACTTTCTAATAGACATGTTTTAAAGTGTTTGCCAACGGTTTTTAAGCAATTTAAAACTCACATCTTAAAGCATATTCCGTACAGTCAGCAATGCAGGATGCAAACCAAGCAGGAGTTGATGGAAAGTCAGCTTGCTGTGAACATTTTTTTGTCATAATTTCTCTCTGAGGATCAGTGAAGTGCTGCAAGTAGGTTCATTTGACTAACCGATGTCTCTTTACTGCTGTCATCATTTTTAGCTGGCTGTGCTGGAATGAAAGCTAGATGCTGAGATGACAGTAAATGTTAAATAGAACCATTAACTTCTGAAAAAAATCAGCCTTTTTAAGGTTATTAGTTACCATGCAAGTAATGAAGCTGGGTCTGAGTGTTGCTGAGCTGAAGTTTAAGTTATATAAAGAATTTATTACAAAATGAAGATGATGAAACCTATTTTGAATATTAGCTGCTGGGTTTTGCTTTCTTTCTGGCTGTATGTTACACATAAATGTAAAAAAAGTTGTAAGAAGCCAGAAGGTTAACTGACATGCAGCCCAAGCAAACTGCCGAATATTAATTTTAGTTATTAAACCTTATGAAGCTTCCTCTGTACTCTTTCCTTACCTTTCGTTTGCAGTGAAATTAGTTATTATAATGCATACTGTAGCTCATATCTGGTAGGTGTTTTTTATGTATTTTGGTGTACTTTCTTATATTTTTTCTATATTCCATCCCTACTTTATCATCTGTTTTTTTTCTTTTTAGTTGTGTAGAATACAGATAATGTTTTATTTAGCATAACGCCTGAGAAAACACACATTTCAGCCAACATCAATACTTAAAATGTAAGAGTTTTGCTACGTATTAACTAGATAAGATGACTTTGGTTAACTACATAATATTGGAGTTCAAATTGCACCAATGCATATTAAATAAGACCAGCTGAGGTTATTAACTTAGAAACAAACTACAAATCTAGATGAGAGAAGAGGGTCAATAATGATTATTATCTGCTCTCTGCAGGCTCCAGTCCCCTCTCTCGTTACCTTGCCATTCTCCGTCTCTCAATGAGATGCCACTGGGTTCTGTGTTCGGGCGAAGGCCGACATCTCACAGGAACATATGCACAAAGGTCCTCCTGGCTGAGGGAAGGGAAACCCCTTTCACAGAGCACTGCCGCAACTACGAGAACGCCTACAGGGTGAGTGACGAGAGTGAACTTAACTAGTCGAATATACAACAGCTTGTTTAAAAGACGGCATTTTATATGAATGTGTTCCATAAAAAGGTTCATACTGTCAAAAGCTATTCTGGAGACTTCCAAACTGTCCGAAAAAGCCTTTAGAAATATGTCCTCCTTAAACATCATCCTTAATGATGGTTGTCAAGAGGGCCGGCCCAAGACACAAGTGAGCAAAACAGCTTCTTTTGGGCCCCAGGTCCACCAGACAACAATTCTTTGGTTTGTTTGTTTTTTATGTTTTTCTTGTATTTCTTTTTAAAACATGCTTGATTTTTATTAACAAATTTAATTGTGTCTATTTTGGGGTGACTAATTTTTGTTTGCTGTTCTTGCTCTACAGGTCGATTTTAAAACATTGTTATTGCTGTTAGAAAGAAAAAAACTTTAAACTACATGATTGATTTTATTGCACATTAACAGCATGCTGATAATTAAATTAGTAAAATTAGATGACGCTTTCAAATATGACATTTTACATAGAACTGCCAAAGCTGCATAATTTCATAGCAGGTGTGTGAATAATCTATTCTTTGAACTGTTGATTACAACAGTCGATATTACTGGTAGAAAAAAAGGGTCACCAAAATCTAATTTTGCTAAGGGCCCTATAGAGGTTTGGTCCGGCCCTGGCTGTCAGTTTCCTGCTTCAAAACCTGGTGAATTTAGACCAACACTGAACAATGATTTTTCCTTTCAACCTCGTAAATTCCTGAAGGAAATTGTCCTGCCAACAGTGTCTGACTTGAGGCTATAGTCCACTTCTGTTATGTAGAAGGACAGTAATCTGGAGCAAACCAGCGGGTCTGCCTCTGGATGGCCTGAACAAAAAAACATGAATGAAGGGTTTGGACTAGACCAAATCAAAGGCTTGACTTAAATTCCTTTGAGATGCTGTTGCTGGAGCTTAAACATTCAGTTCATATTGAACACTCCTCCAAGTTGGCCGAAC